GACCGTGCGGGGATTACAGAGCCCTAAACCGTCAAACCGTACCTGATAGGTACCCAATACCTCATATCCAAGATTTCACCAACGGTTTACAGGGTATGAACATATTCACTAAAATTGACTTAGTCAGGGCATATCACAATATCCCGGTGGCTGATGAAGATATTCCCAAGACAGCTATTACTACACCCTTTGGCTTATTCGAGTTTGTACGCATGCCATTCGGCCTGAGAAACGCGGCACTTCCTCAGATATTCTTATTCCACATTCTCACACTCTTTCTCTTGAAAGCACGCAGTAAACCGTCAGCGATAGTTGTAGAATAGATCACATGCTACAAAATAAGATGACAAGCTAGTAAATGAGGAGACATCCATGGACTATCGTTGACAGCGTTAGTCGTCACTGATTGTAAGTCAAATAGTGAGCGAGATGATAATTTTCCCTTGGGATGAGAAATAGAACTAAGGTGTTTTCGATAGATAGGTTAGTCGAACCGACGTTCCTACGGAAGTCGATTCTAGGGGGAAGCTAATGTAACAGCTCAGGTTGGTTGGTTAAGAGTTGACCCCAAACAACCAAGCTTATACCAAAACAGTATTGTTCAAGTATTCATTCACTTCCTTATTTTTCATAAGCGTTATATTCCCTATTATCTTGAATGTTGAGAGCCTTTGTTTGTCTGAACAGATAATCTCACACTCCACTGTGACTGCGCGAAGATCGAAATAAAGACCTATTCACTACTTCTCTGGTTTCTTCTATCAATAGCACGAGGGTTACCTTAAGGCACGAAAGGTCCACTTCGGAAAGTCCTGTGCAGTTGCAGATGAAACTCATCAATAAAGTTGATGTCGGCCGGTTGAAATGTCTGAGAGTAATGTGGTGCCAGAAGGTTAGCGGCGTCGCCATCATTGTTGGTCGGGCCGTTAAGACCTAGCAGTTGAGAAACTCCTGTTTTGGCTTGCCGAAGAAAGGCTGCATAACGAAATAAGCTTTTAGGATTACAGGCAAATTTGTCCATAAACTTTGTCTGGTACTCAAGCCTGTCTTCTCTTATAGCCTTCGTGCATATGTTCTGTATATGTTTATATTCCCTATAAGCTCCGTCGTTGTCAGTTCGTTTGCATTCCGCCCAACAGTGCCTTTTGTGGCTGAGCAGGCGAAGGGTACGGTTCTTGGTTACTGTAGGTGGCTTGCAGCTTTTTGGAACCGTTTGAGGAACTGAATGGTTTGTAGCACGTAAGAGCGTGTGCAGTAAGAAGTCCCAATGACCGTCCACATCGAGTTGGGGGTGAACATCGCAAACCGCCTGTTGTAGGTAGTCGTGTAGAGCTGGCACATTCAACCGTTTAAAATTCCAACACAAGTTATTGGTGGGGTATCTTGGCTTAGTTTTGCTGACAAAACTGAAGGCTATGACGACATGATCGCTTTTCCCCAGGGGATCCAGGATTGAGAGGTTGTCAACCACAAATTCTTCGTTTGTGAATACACAGTCTAAGCGCGATGGTGTCTGACTGTTTCTCCAACGAGTTGCCGACCTCACATTTTCGCACAATCCCAAGTCATCGATGAGGTTGAAAAACAGAGTTTCAACTGAGTTGTCGCCTCCAGTATACGTGTGTTCCGCGAAGTTGACTCTAGGGAGATTAAAGTCCCCTGGAATCAGGATGTGTGTGAAACCGAGACGAGTAGAGAGGGATAGTCCTTCCAGCATACGACTATCGTACTCGATGTCGATGTCTAGGAAGACCGGTAGAAATGTCGCATAAGGTGATGCCTGAAGTCGTGGCTAGTGGTACTTCCTGATACTGAAGGGACGTAGATTGTGGTGCTTTTGTACAACAAGGATCGTTTGCTTGGGCGGCGGCCATAGCGGGAAGATCGGGCACCGGTGAAGTAACTGCATTCACTTCGATATGTGACAGAGCATCAGGAACGGAGTTTCACTCGCCTTTAAGGTGACGAAGGTCTGTCGTGAACTGAGAGATATAGTTCAGATGTCTGCACTCTCGTGGTAAGTAGCGGCCAGACTTGGTATGCAAAGCATACGTTAAAGGCTTGTGGTTGGTGAATAAGTTAAAATGGCGTCCTTCTACTGCGTGCCGGAAATGTTTGATAGCACCGTAGGCTGCTAGCAGCTCGCGACCAAAAGCGCTATATCTCGACTCCGTGGGAGTAAGGCGTCGTGAGAAAAATTCAAGAGGTCGCCAACTTCCGGAGATGTTTTGTTGCATAACGGCTTATATAGCAAAATCAGATGCATCAACCGCTATATCAAGCGTGGCTGATGGATCGCGATGGGCGAGAAGAGTGACTTGCGCAAGAGCCGTTTGGATCTTTGTAAATGCAGTACGTGCAGAATCGTTCATTTCTAATTTTTGTGGGTTACCGCGAAGTAAATCGGTTAATTGTCGTAACTGTTCTGCTGAGTGTGAGATGAAACGTCGATAGAAGTTAACCAAACCGAGGAATAACTTCAGTTCCTTGAGTGAGGACGGTATGTTGTACTCCCTTACTGCACGTACCTTGTCCTCACAAGGTAAAATACCCTCTTGTTTAATGATGTGACCCAAAAATATCATTTCAGGTATACCCAACTCCCACTTGTCCAGGTTGACTACTATTCCATTATCCGAGAGACGTTAGAATAATAGCGTAAGATGTTGACAATGTTCATCTACGTTTGATGATGTGATTAGCAGGCCATCAATATAAACGTTAACAAAATCTAAGTCTCGTACTATGCTATCGATAAACCTTTGGAAGGTTTGAGCAATATTCCGTTATCTAAATGGCATTAATAAGAACTCAAACAAACCAGAAGGAGTAGTGATAGCGGTTTCCTCGATATCTTCAAGAGCGACTGGATGATATGCCTGTACCAGATCGATCTTAGAAAAGATAGTCGTGCCTTTGAGCGATGCCGTGATGTCGTGTATGTGAAGGATGGGACAGCTATCGAAGCGTGTAACCACGTTTAATGCCCAGTATTCGCCGCATGGTCTCTATCTTACTCCATCCTTTTTGCGCACCATATGAAGAGAGGCCTATGGACTGTGAGAAGGATGAATAATACCATTAGCTAGTAAATTCTCAAACTCATGTTTAGCTAAGGCTAATTTGTTCGGTGCCAGTCGGCGAGGTCATGCCGTGACTGGCTGTTCGCAGGTGACTAAGTGGTATACCACACGATTGGTCACCAATGGAAGCTCCTCGAGTGGTTTAGTTAGTGTAGAGAATTCCTCGAATAGAGCGTGGAATTTATTGTCACGCGCGTAAAAAGTGCCGAGGATTCGGTACGCGTTCATGTGGGCTTTTCAGCCCATGAATTTAATGTTCGACGAAGTATCGATTAGCTGCAGCCTACGTGAATCGACAAGCAATTCATAGTGCTGTAGGAAATCGATACCTAGTATGACTGTGGGAATATCAGCAATGATGAGCGTCCACGGATACCGTCGTCAGTTGCCCAGGTTGACCGCGAGTTGTCGTGTATCGTAGGTAGGAATGATTGAGCCATTCGCAGCGCGTAGTCGAAGCATTGTAGCTTGTGATGTGCTGCTACCTCATGGTACGACAGAAACTTAGGCCCCATTGTCTACTAGGAACCTAACGTTTGTGCGGTAATCGTGCACATAGAATAAACTGCCAACCTGGGGGGAAGTGCAGGCAAGTATGGCCGTTTTTACTCGCCGGATTTGGAGTTTCCCACCTTGTATGGCGGGCGCTAGACCTGAAGTACCTATGAAAACAGCACCAACTTCACTCGCTTCCGAAGCCGCCTTTCCGCGTGGCTTAGAAGATGCCCTCGTTGGGCGAGTGGTGACGGGTTTTCGAGAATGTGAGCGGGCTCGAGGGACGTGGGGTTGGAGTACGTCACGACGGTCTCGAAAGCTAAGACGTGTGTGGATACACCGGCCCCGGTCTCCATGAGTCGGAAAATGCTTGGCGTCCAGATCCACGTTGGGACGTGCCGTTTCCGCAACTGCGTAGTTGTCTGTATTACCAGTTCTCGCTAAGATCTTGTCTGCTATGAGGGCGACCTGACGGAGTGCTGCGTCCTCGAACAGAGCCGTCACTATTGGCTGGATATGAGCCGGTAGAGACTCGTGCCCTAATTGTTTAACTATTTCTGAATAGGCTGTCGTTGGTCCTGCAAGGGATTGCAGGCGCGTGAAATGATGACTTTGTTTACCATCACCTAGAGGGTGACGTGCTAAAAGTATTTCCAAGCGTTCCTCTCAGGATGGGAGGAAATGTCGGAAAATCGCCTCTTTGAAACGATCGTAAACGTTAGGGACATTAGGATTTAGGACTACCTCACGAACAGCAACGATGTGGTCCTCGGGTAGCGATTCAAGGGTAAAAGCGTATTTCTGCTTTTGTCTCGTAATTCGGCAAGCCCTGAATTGAGATTCTAGTGCGGCAAACCATACCTCAGGGTCATGTTGGATAAAAGCTACAGGTCTAAAGTGGATGGCCTGTATATCAGAGTCTATGATATTAATGCCACTCTTATCGCTATTATCATGCCGAGTATAGTATATATTAAAAATTAATATAAAAATATACGACAGACGTGGATAGAAAAACAACAGATTCACCAAAATGACTTCCCAAGGCTAAAGGACCAGAGTTTATGGCGTGGTAGCAAACGGCTTGCGAATTGTAGTGTAGTGCCGAGTTCCAGTTGACTATGAACACCACTACTGAGAAATGCGTGCCAACAAAATCAGAAGGCGGAATAGAACCAAGTTTATTTGATTGAAGATCTCGTGGTATCGAAAGAATACCAAGATCATGCCAAGAAATGGTACGAGCAGAAGCAGCAGAAGATAGTTCGTGCGAGCGAAGTCACTACCCACGAAACAATAATAGAGAATAATGGAAACACAATATGTCTGTCATTAGAACAGTTAAACAAACGAGCACAGTAAAACAATCACTGGTACAATTGGTTATAATAATAATTTTTTCAATAAACCAATCGCGTTCATCCGACCTGTCACTTTTTAGTCACGCTGATTTGTTCAAAGGACGCCAACAAAGACCAGGACTGTGTATTAATATCGAGAATTGAAGGTAAAGAAATATCATAGTTTACACTGACTGGTTCGCAATTATTGGATATTGAACAATTAGGTGAGTTTGCAGTGTCTTTGCTCGCGCGGTTTCGTTACTCGTCACGTTGTTTCAGGGATGAATGAGCAATTGGTGTTTAGGGGCACTCTGTCTGGACACCGTGGGTGGGTCACACAGATAGCGACAAATGCTACTCAACCTGATCTTCTTGTTTCAGCTTCTCGAGGTATATTTAACTACTGACATAGATATTTCAGATAAATCTCTTATTGTTTGGGACTTGAGGCGAGAATCTCGTGAATATGGAGTACCTGTGAGGTCCTTACATGGACATAATCATTTTGTCAGTGACGTGGTTATGTCATCTGATGGGTTGTATGCTTTATCAGGGTCATGGGACAACACCTTAAGATTGTATGATCTGGAAACTGGAAAAACAACTCGTCGGTTCTGTGGCCACGAAAAAAGCGTTCTGAGTGTTGCTTTTAGTGCAGACAACAGACAAATAGTCAGTGGGTCACGAGACAAAACTGCAAGGCTGTGGAATACTTTGGGTCACTGTAAGTATGTATTCACCGATGGTGGGCATACTGACTGGATTTCATGCGTCCGATTTTCCCCAAACACAGATCACCCTATTGTTGTTACATGTGGATGGGACAAGCAAGTGAAAGTAAGCGATATGATATTCTGTAATTCATTTCTCCAGGTCTGGGGGTTAAGTGACTGTAGTTTACGCACAACACATTACGGACATACTGGTTATCTCAACACAGTGACGGTTTCACCAGATGGTTCTCTTTGTGCAAGCGGAGGAAAGGACGGACAAGCAATGTTATGGGACTTAGCGTTAAACAAGTTCCTGTACACCCTGCCTAGCGGAGGAATAATCAACGCTTTATGTTTCTCTCCTAATCGTTATTGGCTTTGTGCTGCAGTTGGATCCAGCATCAAGATATGGGATCTAGAAAATAAAGTCTTAGCTGATGATCTGCGCCTTGATTTGATATCAGGAAACTCACCTGCTAAACGATCAACATCTTCCTGCACATGTCTTGCGTGGTCTGCTGATGGTCAAACTTTATTTGCTGGATACTCAGATAATCTCATTCGTGTTTGGCAAATGGCTTAGTAACAATAATATGTATGATGTACTGATGGGATCAAAGACTTTTTATTTCAAGTGAGGTTGTATGTGTTTACGGAAGAAGGCTTACTGATAACCCTGGCACTGTTTACGTAGTACAATAAGGTTTTTGTAAGACATGGTATCCATTCCTCAATGCACAGACCTCCCATTATATATAGTCTATATGCGAAGAAAGTTCATTTTGTTTGTTCGAAACTCAGTAGATCAAGTTAGCTGAGGAAATAAAGGATTATACTAAAATTCAGTGGCATCACGTGAGCAACCATTACAGTTATTAACTGGTTTCTAAACAATTACCTATAGTGTACTTAATAGATCTTGTTGCCATAATCTTCTTTGTTATAAACTCTACATTAAAACAGCCACTGTTGACGCTGCCCGTTAGCGAAGCTTAACTATTTCTCACAATTTACGTTCGTTATTAGTTTACGACTAAATATTTTTCCAGTCTATTGAACTTTGACCACTGTCAATATACTGATCAGTAGTGTGGAGTCTGATTCTGGTTGGTCATTGTTTTAGAGACGTAACTTCACCTAAGAAAGCAGTTGAAATTATGCTCCTTAAGTCTTTACCGTCCGGCTGTAAATCAAATTTATTTAGTTTCAGTGCATTAATCATAACATATATATACACAAAACAGTCGCGATAATGTTCCATGATTAAGTGATGTGCAGTTGAGTGGATACAAAATCGATTCGAAAGTCATGTAAGCAAATCATTTCGAATTGTAATGTTAGTAAACGCTTTAGGAAAGAATTAGCCATGCAACTGCTCTGTCGCATCGAAACAGTTTATTCTATAATGACTTGGGAAGATATTGTTCGCTGATTGGGGGAGTTCGGGTGTATATCTTCGTAGGCTTGGAGGTGATGAGCGACGACAACTCAAATGTATGCTAACCAAACGTAGCAGTAGACAGCGAGAGCAAAACCGCGAAATGTAGCAAGAATAAATGGTTCTAAACAGCATTGCTGGCTGGTGGGTGAGGCGTATTACAAAATTCAGGTTGCAGTAAGACTATTTCAGATGTGGACTTCATAAACGTTCACTCCCAATTCAGGGGATTGGACCAGTGGGGAGTTTATATCCTAAAGTACCATTCAACTGATTTTTAAGTACTCTACAGTTACGCACACTCGGGTTCTCCCATCCATGGTCGCTGGTAATTTAAGACGAGATAGGACAGTTGCTTAAATACAGCAGAAAGGGTTAGCTCCTTCAATTATTTTAAAGATCTGACAGTGTCTAATCGTTTGGTGTCCGCCCCTGCTTCAAAAAATTGAGTTGGTGTTTGCCAAGTTCAGTAATTTGTGGTGTCCGTCCTCCAATCACAGGACATGCATATCACGTAGCAGTCCTTCCTGTCATATCTCATGTCTGTGAAACAGTATGAAATTGAAGACGTGTAGACTGGAGGTTTCTAATCATAAGTATTTGTGACCTATTGCAAACCGACCAAGTGAGTGTTATTGAGGTTAAGGACAGTATGTCGACTGAGGTGTTTAAGACATGTGTTTTGTACGTCTGACCACTGCCTACTTCGACAAGCGACGCTTGACTTGAACTTTAGTGATCGTAGCTAGCACGGAATTCTTGTGATTAAAAACAACCTGCATTGTAGTAGTCACATAAAACAACAGCTCGGCTTGCAAATACCTTTTAAACTACATGGTTATTTTCGAAAACCAGGATTGCTATTTCATTATATATCGCTTTGGACGCAGTGCTCGCGTTGCGGTAGTGATATTCAAGCCTTACTTGCCTTATAAGAAGTGTATTTATTAAAACCTCCCGCAAAACCCAAATAGTCTTAACTTAAATAACGTTTCCTGCTCTCATCTCGATGTTTCGTAGCAACGCTAAATCTCTCAACTCATTATTATGACCATGAAAACAGCAGTGGCGTGAAGGTGCGAAATTACGGAAACAACTAGTGTGTAGTATTAGTGAATATGATCAGAGCAATGTAGTGTCTAGAACAACTAATTTCGAGAGTTACAAACAGGAAAGACATATCACTTCAAGCAACGGTAAGTGATAGGGCCGGATTGTGCTCCCTTTCTTAAGCGCTTCCCAATATTCTTTGTTTGATGATGGGTGGTTTAAATCTGTTTAAGACAGTTCAGTTACATATGCTCAATAGATAGTTGAAAGGAAACGTCTTGCAGCTTAAAAGACCGATCTCACAAACTAAAATAAATGAAACATAATTCATAAATTGCGATCACTTATACGAGGTTACTCAACAAGTGTGAACCATCGACTCGATAATGTATAGTAGCTTACGTCATTTGAGTAATCTGATGATATGCGATGAAAGTTCTATGGGGGTGCACAGCAAACAATCACCTGTATACTATTTAGTAATGCTGTTAGTACAAGTCTATAAAAGCCAAATAAGTTCGGGAAAGATCGAAATTTACACATTTTGATGCTGTTTACTAGAATTTATTCTTAGTTGGAGCAAATAAATTTAATATTTGGGAGCGGTTATATTAAAATACCATCCTCAAGCAAGAATGGATAGGAAATCGATGTTTAATGTTAGGGAATATTCATTTAGGCCACCAGAAACTGTATGCTCTACAATGTATTTTATTAGAATGTACTTCTCTTCATGTGAAGAGAAAAGGTTGTTTTGAAAACGGAGTTCCTGACTTTAATACGATTGTATATAGTTATGAGATGGGATCGTCGATACGTAAAAATTAATGCTAATAAAGCTTGTCTCAAACAATCCAAATTTATTGAAGTGATATTTTTCTGAGAACTTAAGTTATCATATAATCTTACCTATTTAATGCCGTCCCGAGTTATTCGCTTTACCTACATCGTAAATCTGTCTGTACCCTACTTCTTTGTTGTAACACCGCAAAGTAAACTGATGTACGAATATACTTAGTATTGTGTTACTTCTTGTGTCACGCACTTCTAAGCAATGATGCTTTTATGTTGAGGTTCAGACGTTATATATGACTAGGTTTCAAAATGGTTTACTTTGACATCCAAATTGATGGTATAGAGTGAAGTAGTTGAATCGGTTGAACACCTCACTTATCTTGAAAGTCTCCAAACTTGGTGAGTTAGTGTCTAACAGTCTCAACACACATTCAAATAGCTGTCCTTAAAACATAATCTACGAGAGTGGAAGATATGGATAGACTATACGTTTTGGTCATATGTTATCGGAACAATGCTCGTGTATTGTGGATCAATCGAGTGAGCAATGTCAAGATACTAGACTAAATTGGCAAGTCGGTTAGTGAGGTACTGATTTGCTACAGGTGTCTTCCTTATTATCATTGGTGCTAAATTGTTTAAATACCTTTACTACTCATCTTTTAAATCCGTTCCAATGTGATGTGATATGGCAACGTGTGTTAACGTACATTTGTCTGACTCTGTGTTCGTCATGACTAACTGACCTCTAAGAAATAGTTAATCATTTAGAAACAAAATAAAATCCATTTAAAATTTGTATATTAACAATTGCAATAATAGACCTATGTTAATATATGTTGACTGACAGAAGAGAATATTTTCGAGTGCATTTATTAAAAGTATGTGCTGGTGGATTACAAACGGTTGTACAAGAAATCGGGTTAATAAATACGAAATACGTTTCAAGCCAAAATAGATTTTGTATCCACTTCGACAAGGTTTTTCATACCTTCAACTGTAGAAGACCATTCTTTCAATCGAGCACACATGCTTCCAATCTAATAATAACAGGAAACGTCGGAAAATCAATGAAAGTATTTAAAATTTAAATCACTGAAAATGGAAATGTTCAATAGTTTGATGGTTAGTTTATAAAACCTTAAGTATAAGAATGAAAATAGCTAGATTAGCTACAAAGCTAAAACCTAAAATGAAGAAAACAGTAGTTAATAGAAAATGCGTCAAAATACTTCGTTCAATCCAATCCATGAGGAATAAGCCTCAGACCTTGAATTCACTAACCTCTAGTTTTAGCCATGTTGGTAGACGCAGACTAACTAGTTGCGGTCTGCACGACTACCGTAACCAATGGTTGGAGGCTGGATGACATGGCTCAGAATCGATCACAATGGTGTAGGTGTATACACTCTTTGTCTTCCCTTAAACTATGAGATTAAAATCGCTTCATATCTTTCTTTATACGAACTAGTTCTTTTTCCCTGTATCATATCCTTACTATTACTATCATTGAAGTTACTACTTCTATGAATACGGTATTCATCTTGCTGTGCTAATGAGGTGTGACAATTTGGACCGATGTATATATGTGCCTGGTCCTACGTTGCAGTTAACAGAAGCCTTGATAGTGTAACACAACAAGCATGTATACATTGCCACTAACAGGTACGGTTTGAATATATAGTGTGAAAACTAACGGGGAAGTTTGCTTACTTTAGATATTAAACAACCGACCAAAACTGGGTTATAGATTCACATCAGTAGCGACGAAATACATAACTAATCCTGCGTATTAATTATTTTAGTTTCATGCAGGCACTTCCTTTTTTATCTAGAAGAGGCCAAGGACTAAAAATTGAGCAGAATCATGTGAATTCATTCTCCCCACTCTCAGTCATAACAGGGCATTTGGGAGTCGTCGACCAGAAGCCTTGGAAAATTTCAGTAAATCAACCTGAAGTCCAGTATCGAAGACATCTTGAGATATGATCTTTAGAACTAACTTACGCCCTTCTGTTTTACCAAGATAACTGCCTTGGTACACACGTGTAAATTTTTATACGCAGCCGGCGGCAATGTATAAAGGGTTAGTATTGATCTTTGATTATAGTAGAGATTCAGTTATACTGTACAAGATAATTAACTTGGCTGCACAATACGTTCTAGTCAATGTGGTTTCTAATCTTCTGTTTACCGTCATTCCAAAGTGACCATGGTTGAATTCAGGTTCAATAAAAATATTTTTGTCTGTTGTGGTTCTTTAAGGCATTTTGTTTCCACTTTTCCCATATTTCTCAATAAATTTCTGTGGACACCCGTTGTTTCTTAGAC